GCAAAAAAGGATGTGACTACTACTACTACTACTACTACTACTACTACTACTACTACTACTACTACTACTACTACTACTACTACTACTACTACTACTACTACTACTACTACTACTACTACTACTACTACTACTACTACTACTACTACTACTACTACTACTACTACTACTACTACTACTACTACTACTACTACTACTACTACTACTACTACTACTACTACTACTACTACTACTACTACTACTACTACTACTACTACTACTACTACTACTACTACTACTACTACTACTACTACTACTACTACTACTACTACTACTACTACTACTACTACTACTACTACTACTACTACTACTACTACTACTACTACTACTACTACTACTACTACTACTACTACTACTACTACTACTACTACTACTACTACTACTACTACTACTACTACTACTACTACTACTACTACTACTACTACTACTACTACTACTACTACTACTACTACTACTACTACTACTACTACTACTACTACTACTACTACTACTACTACTACTACTACTACTACTACTACTACTACTACTACTACTACTACTACTACTACTACTACTACTACTACTACTACTACTACTACTACTACTACTACTACTACTACTACTACTACTACTACTACTACTACTACTACTACTACTACTACTACTACTACTACTACTACTACTACTACTACTACTACTACTACTACTACTACTACTACTACTACTACTACTACTACTACTACTACTACTACTACTACTACTACTACTACTACTACTACTACTACTACTACTACTTGGAAGCGTGTTTTTATTGACCACATAAAATGATGATGCAAAGAAAGAAAAGAACACCGGAAACATAATGCTGGATTTGAAAGAAGAAGAGAAAAAGGAAGATTAAAAGAAACCTGACCAAGAGAACTCAAGCATTGCACCCAGGAGGCAAAAATGAACTCAATCCCTAGCATAGGCTCAATGAGGTCGTGTAATTGCACAAATTTCAACGGATCCAAGTAAAACTCCAACCAACAAGTGGAACGAATTCAAATATTACAAAGCAACAGCGAAAATAGAATAACAACACAGTGAACAAAAAAAGAAAAGAATACTATTCGATAGACAAGTCCAGTTACTGCACACGTGACATGTGCGCCAGTGCACGGCACTCGGTTACGAAACCATGACGGCCTGTACCGGAGACACCACGGGCATACGACGATCTTGACCCCCGAAAACACGTAATCTGCCACCGGATTAGGGAGGTACTTATCCTCGATCGCAAGTGACCAAGGACAAGGGCGTACTGAAGATCCCGATTCTTATCTGCTATACGGGCTGCCAAAGTCTTCAGGAATCTGCTGCACTCCGGCGCACTCTGACCATTCGTTGCGAAAACCAGAGGGGTAAATGACCCACGATCCACCTGGTTAATCCGGTCAGCATACTGTCGCTTCTTCTGGCGCTCATGCTGGGACAACTGACCCGCCACTTCCGGTCCAGACAGCAAAGACGGCCTTGGGTGAGTCACCCGCACATCAAAAAAGGCGTTTTGCTGCCTGGTCCAGAAGCCACGAGCCCGTATGTCCACACGAGCGCCATCAGCTGAGCTGCCAGAGACTGCCTCGCCCTGGAGTGGCATCAGCGGTGGCTCGATCGCCACATCACACACGACGCTGCCGAGGGCGTCCGCAAGGAGATCCCTCAACTCGTTGTGGCGCTGCGTTGGGTAGCCTCCACTGGGGCAAGTGAGTGCGTGATGGCTTGACATCTCCCCTCCACACACACAGGACAATGCAACCCCATCCAGCGATAAATCATACCGCAGACAGAGTGCATCCCTGAAGTCAGATTTATTAAATACTGACCCAGGTATGTGCATGGAAGGGGGAGTGCCAAGCCAAGTGGATACACCACCCTCACCTGCCACATCCACAAGGAGGCGCTGCTGATCCGACAGATCAGGCTTGATCCCAGTCAAGATGTCCAGCTGCTGAGACCGGCGTCGGCCACGAGCCTGAACTGCCAATGCCTTGCTGGTTGAAATTACGTCGGCGACTCGACGCTCGCCCAGACCGACCACCACACACGTCACCATAGGGTCTATCGCATCGCAACAGAGCAGACGCTCAGCCTCGGCACGCACACTCCCGATTCGCATAGCGAGACCGCCGTTTCGTAGGGGCAGAGATAGTAGCTGACGAAGCGCACCGTCAGGCCTGAACGTGTGGCCAGTCAGCGCCGGCAGCAGATCGTCATTGATGGCCCGGTCCAGAGGTGAGTACACGGCTGGGTCGGCAGGGACCACACGCTGTAAGAAGGTCCACCGGGATTGCAGAGACGCAACAAAAAGGCGATAAGCCGCCTGCGGTTGCGTCACAGCCAAGCCAGCAAGGCGCTTCACCAATCGACACATGCCCGCAACCCGATCCAATACAAAGTCATTCTGAAACTGTTGGCTGCCAATGGCTCCACCCAGATACCGCACACCATCAGTCTGGATTCTGACGCCCGTGCCAGCGAAAGCCTCCTGTGCCTCAGCCAGAAGATGCGGTCGGACAAGCAGCACAGTTTTCTTGGCATTCGGGTAGTACCCGTACTGAGGGCCGGCCTCCTCAATGGCAGACCAATACCGACGCAGTGGTTGTATCTTGTCGGCAGCCGCATCATCATCTGCGTACCAGATTTGAGCTGTTGACTCCGATGCTGAACCAAGCTGTGCAGCAAGAGGAACGGTGGCCAATGCGTAAAACGCCATTGCCAGAGGGTCCCCCTGGCAAGTTCCCTCGCGCGAATACAATACCTCTCCGCCATCGAGGTAGAGTGGTATGTCGGCCTGGTATGTATTTACAAACACTCGACCAGCTGCAGGGCAAACCTTTGGTATGTTGTTGATTGCGGCTGCACGGTTCAACGCATTAAACGCATTTGAAGCGTCAACGAGGAGAATGGCAGTGTCCTCATCACGCTCGTACAAGCCAGTGAGGGCTTGGACAGCAACCTCACAGGCGGAGGGGACGCCGACACACAGCTGCCGTGGGACAGTGACGGCCGCAACGTCACGCTCGATCACGGCCATGATCACCTTCCCGACCACTCTCCGGAAAACCTCACCGATCGCTATCGGTCTTACGCCAGGTTGCTTGTCAAGCGGTATTAGTCGACCGGCGAGGAAAGCTCGGAGATGAGATGGGTCAATCTCCTCCACGCACAAACACCTGGCCATGTGGGCAAGGGATGTGCAGAGTGCCTTCGACGCCGCACCGTACATGGAAGCCATCCGCCGCCAAGCCTCCGAATCCAGTGCCGAAGGGCCAGCAGCGCCCTTCATCGCCATGATGGTAGCTCGTACCTTTGTTGATGTTATGGCCTCATAAAGCACGTTATCCGGTGGAGGCGGACCGTCAGGCAGCAGAACGCTTGGCTCAGGGGGAACAGGATCCGGATGCTTTGCCCTCAACGTCTCAAGTACAGTTTGTCCATCCACAATAGATGAAAGAGACAAGACACCACCACCACCACCCTCCTCTACGTAGTGGGCAGCCGTGCCAAGTCGATCACCATAGACTAGCTTAGCGAACTGGACGTCATCTAATCCACCACCCGCAGAGCCACCAGAATGAGGCATCGGCAAATGCGCCTGGATGCACCGAGACTCCCGCAGCAGGGCCGATAAATTGCCAGCTGACCACAAAGAAAGCCTCTTTCGTAGAAACTTCCTGTGGTCAGCGGCGGCTGAGGTGTTGAACGGCCTCTGCAGCAGAAGGTGGCACGCAACGACTACGGCAGACCACGCAAACGCCCGAGCCCCTGATCCATCTGTGAAAAGGCCAATCAATCTGGAAAGTTCCTTCACAAAGTCCTCACCTTCAGCGCCGAAGGGGACGATAAATAAATTCCTTTTCCAAGACACAGCCTCACTGTAGGCCGAATCCAGCAACTGTGCAGCCTCTCCACTCCGCAGAGCCCAGAACCCACCTCCAGGGACAGCATCGGAGCCACCGCCATCACCC